CTGGGAGAAAACTTAGCTGATTTTCTCGCTCTCTGACCAGGCTGTCACATCCACACCTGTCCCCATTGCCAGCACCATCCCTACTCTACTCAGAGCTCTGGAAGTCACAGGGCACAGGGATCTGTCCCACCTTGGGAGTGGTGGACATGGTGTCCAGCAGAGTGAGAAGGTGCAGAGCATCCCCAGTGCCTGTCTCCACTCCACTCAGAGCTCTGGAGGTCACATTCCCTGGCACAAGGAGCTGTCCTACGTTGGGAATTCTGGACATGGTGCCCAGCAGTGTGAGAGGGCACAGAGCATCCCCAGTGCTTGTCCTCACTGCCGGAACCATCCCTGCTCTTCTCAGAGCTCTAGAGGTCCCATTCCCTGGCACAAGGATCTGTCCCACCTTGGGAATCCTGGACATGGTGCCCAGCAGTGTGAGAGGGCACAGAGCATCCCCAGTGCTTGTCCCCACTCCACTTGGAGCTCTGGAGGTCACATTCCCTGGCACAGGGATCTGTCCCACCTCGGGAATGCTGGACATGGTGCCCAGCAGGTCCTACAGAGAGCCCTGGGGTGGGCCAGGGGGGCAGACCCTACCCTTTATCCCCACAGCTCCAGCAGAGACTGGGACATGTCCCACAGCTCAAACATCTTCCCAGCATCACCCACCCAGAGGTGGCTGTGGCTGGGCATCCCCAGGGCCCACAGCTCCTCTGGCACAGTGTGAGCTCCCGGCGTCCTTCTGGATTCTCCGTGTATTTTGTTTGGCTTGGTAATTTTGTGGCTGGAGTCCTTCTGGCCGTGTGTCCTCAGGAAGGGCTCTGTCCTCGGCTCTCCGCGATATCCAGCTGCCGCAGAGCTGCCTTTCCCAGCTCCCGGCGCACAAGACCCCCACTGAAGAACTGAGGACATCTCAGACATGTTTTAATGAGGATATTACTATTCCAATCAGTAATAAAAACCAGTTTCACGTCTGGGCTCTTGTGGTTTGATTCTGAGCAAACACCAGGCACCTACTAAAGCTGTTCCTTCAGAAAAAAAAATTAAAAAAGGGTCATAAACTGAGATGAGGATGAGGAGAAAAACATTCTAAGGGCAAACGAGGTTCAAATTTAAAGTATAAAGTGAATTTATTATTAACAGAATCAGAGAAGGATAATGAGAAATAAAAGAAGCTTTTAAAACACTCTTTCTCCCTCAGCCCCCCCTCTTTCCTGTGAACCATTAATGCACAGACTCAGATCAGTGGGGATATTGAGATGTTTATTGCAGGAAAAAAGCTGGTTTTACACACCTCTTCAAGACACAGTATTTCCTTATAAGGTATTTCTTCACTATCACACATTGCCACATCAGCAACATGATTTAATGTCCTTACACGTGGGTGCTCACATGCTGTTCACTCAGCCAGCAGGCTCCTCTCCATGATGCCTTGAGAGGCCATCTAGAACAGAAGCTGGACAGTGTTAAAAAAATAAAGTAAATATTTATTAAAAAGGCTTTAAAAGGATACACCTTTGGCAGTGCAAGAGCCCGGCTGTGGCTATACCCAAGATGGATGCCAGGTCATGAATGTTCTCCCTTTTATAAGTTTTGGCCCATTTCCATATTGGGGTTAATTGTCCAATTACAGCTCCAGGTTATGCAGTCCCATTCTCCCAGATTGCTCTCTGTCACTATAGAGCACGACACAAAACAATAACACACAACTCCATCAGAAGGGTGAAAGAGAGAGATTTTATTAAACCAACGTAGCTTTTATAGTTCTTCCAGATAGCGACACCATCTAACACATATACAGTGTCCACTGGCCATAGAAGAGAAACAAAGTTCTCAGCAGACAACCAGAGAGCCACATCACTTGGCGAGCCAGTAAAAGTCCATATCTCCCAATTTTCTCTCCTTCCTCTGGTCTCCAGGATAATGACCCTGGCATTCCTTCAGGAGAGATATAGGGCTTCTCCTTATCTTCAGGAGGCCCTTGCTAGCTCACAGGGACAGCACAGAATG